CGATCACACAGACGCCTCGCCAGCATAACCTTTGTTTTCCTTTGGTACAGCGAGCTTGCCTGGCGCTCTTCTCTACTGCACGATGCATTTTTTTTTTTTTTACTCGTTTTTGGGGCGCAATGAATAATGACAACATTTTTAACTTTTCAGTTCAAGGTGTGGCGTTGCAGAACTCCTCAGCGTCACTTTCAGTCGAAGCAGCCAATCAAATCAAGTAGGAGGCGGGCTTTCAGACTTAGTCTGCTCATCGGGCGCTCACTCAACTGAATTACATAAAAAGCATCGCGCTGGGAGCATGCTATTCTCTCCTCTCCTTGTCTTCTTGGAGAGTAACGGGGAGAGCTCTACGTGTGTGGAATCCAATTTTTTCCACTTAGTTTTGACTTTTGCATGATTTTCTTTTTAATGTCAGATGAAGACAGTATAATATCTGGAGCGACAGATTCACGTTGATATGAAGTGTTTGAAGATGCTCCAACAGGTGACTTAGTATTAAAAATTAAATCAGCCGCGATCATTAAAATGAAAATACTGAAAATTAAAATGATGAACTTCTGCAGGAATAAAAATCGTGTCCCGTGTTTTTACCTTCAGAGTTTGGAGGTTTTTTTTTTAAAATTTAAACTGAAAGTATTGCTGCTGTAGAGCTTTTGATATTTGGTATAAAGTCAAAGTTCAGTGTTTGCATTCAGACTGCTCACTGCTACGTTTTATTGACTGAACAGGGACACATGCATTGAGCGTCGCGTTGTGTAAAACAGAAAGTCAGACGTCTACCGTGAAATCAGGCGTATAAAATGTTTTAAAACATCAAAGTGTGCTGCGTCTCATACAGCGGTGACTCGGTATAAAATGCAGACGCTTTGCCGTCATTGCTGAGTGCAGTCGCCACCATCACACGCTGCACGCGAGGTGACGAGATTGAAAACTTCATGCTCATTCGGTTTGTATTGCACGCTGTGCTGGGAAAGAAAGCGACAGACGACTTTTAAACGTCTTTTCTGACGAGGTCACATCATTAAAGAAAAAGTTTGCACGTTGTTCTGAGAATAAACCTTGACTGCGCTCTTGATTTGTAATAGTTCTTTATCAACGTTAACAGGTGACAAGCGGCGTCGGGCAGCGCTTCTTCGTTCCCCCGTAAACTGAGAGCTCGTCGTGTCGCGAGGAGTGGAACTCCACAAAGTGAAAGCTGACAGAACTAAAAGACACAGAAGCTGCACGTTGTTGATTTCGCTGAACACAAGAAAATCGTCATGCAGGACGACTGATTTAAAATAAAAACATTTGACTGATATTCTTGTTTTTTAAACTCAAACAAACGAGACTAAATGGACCAATCAGAATCTTCAGTCTGGAACAGTACTGAACACTTGACGTCCCGTGTGATGATCAGACTCTTTGTGCAGATGTTCAGTTGTTCACTCGTTCTCTAATCTAAAGGTAAAGATCTTTCTGAACTGGTCTCTCTGTCGCCCTCTACAGGAACCCCTCCCTGAAGCAGCAGCTCTTCTCCTACGCCATCCTGGGCTTCGCCTCTCTGAGGCTATGGGTCTGTTCTGTCTGATGGTGGCGTTCCTCATCCTGTTCGCCATGTAAACCTGGAGCCACACACACCTTCCCCCCCCCCCCCATCTCTTTTTTCTCCCTCCCTTTGTCCCATCCGGAGGGGGGTTTCCTCAACGGGAACTCTTGAATGAGCTGCTAGGCCATTCCAATCATCGGAAAATATTAAAGGAAATTATAAACATCAGAGGTTAAAAAAAAAAAAAAAACCTCGATCCAACATTTTTATGTTCCTGCGCTTGTTTTTGTTTTTCAGACGTTTTATGTCAAACCTCACCTTGGTTAAAAGAATCTGTCCAGAATAAATGGTTGGGATAACTACAAACAGTCTGCAGTCTTGTTTTTTTTTTTTTTTTAATCTTTGTCTGTTAAAATGAAAAACACTCACGCTGTGGCGGCCATTTTTAAAATGTCTGGTGTGTACGGGTAGAGGGGGGAGGGGTTAGGAACCCTCCGACAGTGTTTGTTTGTTCTGGATTGGTTCAATAATAAAGTCATGAGTCTGTTTGGATTATTTTAAGTTAATCAGATGGCTGACTGACTTCTCGTAATGCTTTTATTCTCTTAGCAGGTACAGTCTCCACATTCCTTTCTATAGGGGAACACTTCTGAAAGATGATTTACCTGTAAATCTCAGATGTACATTTCAGCTTCAGCTAACTCTCCTGTTAGTCTCTCTACAGACACTTTGCTTCTATCCAATCTGCTGTTTTAACGATCTTACACATACTGTTACATCACCAGACCTGTTCTTCTCCACGGCACATATTTAAAGATTAATCTATGAAAAATAACCAAGATGAATACTCAGACAGAACAAGTGTAACGCCTTTCAACATCCCAATAGTTCATCCCACAGCTAAGTGTTTGTTCTAATCCTCAGTCTACCTTTCGCTCACATTCAGATTAATATCACTTTTCTGTCTGCTTTGATTGACACATGAAACATCTTTAATCAGAATGTGTATCTTGTAGAAAAAATGATTTCTGCACACTGCATTTGGATGAAATCTTTAAGAACCAATTTTAAATCAGAAAATGTTCTAGACTTCAGCGCTCAGTCTGTACTTTAGTTCAGGCAGGTGACCTGTTGTCATTAGATGAGTTTGAATCGAGCAGCAACCTCCAGGGTTGAGAAATCAAGCTGAACTGTAAAATCCTGCAGTTCCTGGAGTGTCCACTAGAGGCTGGCTGCAGAAGCACAGGAAGTCACATACACACCCATTCAAAAACCAGAGAGTCAATCAGACACACACACACACCTGAGTGAACAGTGTAATCCATCAAGAAAGAACAATCAGGAGATTTATTTTTCTGCTCGTTAAGCCTTCATTGTAGAGATGAGACGGTGGATAAGAAACTGAGAGAGAGGGGCATGACATACAAGAAATTCAGACCCTCCCTGCCCACTCTTCAGGTCGTAACCCTCTGTGCACGGAGTGAGCATGCGAACGTTGAGGCTACCAACACAGAATCCTTCTTCACATGTTGAGAAACAGGAAATAACTGAAGGAAGTTTGTACGTCTCACAGATCAAATAAAAACAAATGCACATCCTCGATCAACATTTTCATGAACTCATCAGGAGTCTTTTTCACCGCTCTGCTCAGTCTGATACATCATCCAGTTCAGGAAGTTTGGACAATAAAGAGATCATGCCTTAAAGAAGCAAACATCATCATCTCTAGTGCAGGAACGTTTAGTGAGGATTGTTATATCTGCAGTGTTTGCTCTCATATCAAGACGACTGCGGTCACGTTACCCTGAAATCTAAAACCTTTATCCTGCATTCAGAGAACTTCATGTTCTCATATCTGGGCTCATTGTCAGAAAATATCCTCCGTCCAAAGTCTGTAGACAACAGTTCAAACATGATGATAATAATAATAATAATAATAATACATTGGTTTTATAAAGCGCTTTTCTGAAAACTCAAAGACGCTTTGACAAAAACATAAAACAAAACAAAAAACGACGAGGACAGTACAACGAAGGAGTAATGTGGGGGGGGAGCGGGGAGTTAGTGGTTGTGAGCATGCTTTCAGAAGAATGAGTTTTATCGGTCAGGTATTCTTAAACACTCCTTGAAATGTTCAGAGTGAAATAAAGATGAGAACAGAAAATGTCAGACGGGTTCATTGAGGTGAAAAGTGAGTTTACTTTGAAGGAGTGCACAGACTGATATCAGAGGAGGAGGATACAGTATTACAAACACTGATATGGTCTTTATCTGTACCAGTAACTGGGACTCGTTCTAAGTGAGGCTGCTCTGGTTTTGACACTTTTACTGGTTTAACTGTTTTTAAAGCCTCTTCATCGCAGCTTTATTCTCATATTCCTCTTCATTCTTCATTCTCCAATTCATCCCGGTCATAGAGGAAGAACCTTTTCAGCTCGCTGTTTGTTTCTGGTTGAAATGACAAGAGAAGGAACTTGAACGTGAGCTGTTCTGCTTTAAGATAAATTCAGTAAACATGGGAGACATTTAGAGATCAAGGCGATAACGCAGCTGTTAATGATGATCACGTTTTTCTACATATGGAGAAAAATAATCTTTAAACTGTTCCTGATTTCGGACCGGCTGCATCTCTCTCTTCAGACATCTGTGAGTTCTTCATTTGGACTCTGGAGGGAACATGTTCTGGTTCCTCTGTGCAGATATTTGTGTTACTGATATGTTCTCTATGTTGAGCAGACGTTCTGCAGAGTTGATGGTTTTGAAGAAAGAGACGCTAAAGGACGTATGACACCGGGCCTCACTCTTCTGTCCTCTGTCCAGATAACTGAATCTAATCTGATATGGAGGACATGAAGCCGCTCTAATCAGAGGAGAAGTCTCTGTAAGGTCACAGAGACGTCACACAGCTGCATGTATAAATATGGACGGGAGATGTCATGAACAAAGCGTGTCCTCCTCCGTCCTCTGACCATGTTGTGTGCAGGAGCCGGCCGAGTTTCTGTTCTGCTCTGTGCATGTTCTGTGATGCTGGGAACTCTGGGACAAACTGGTGACCCCGGGGACGGTCAAACGCCAAACGCTGTTCGGACCGAAGAGAGGAGGCCAACACCTGAAACCACCAGGGAGAAGAATTCAACGTTTTCCACCAAGGTAAAGGACTGAATGTCACCTTACAGAAAAATCAATTAACATCTGTTTTTAACATGTATTCATGAGTTTGTAAGTGTGATTGCTGCTTTTAAATATGTCACCTCATGTTTGGAAAGAGCAGATATTTGCAAAAGCATGTTATTATTACTCACAGACAGAGTTAAGAAGTGAAGCAGAACTATCTCACACGGTCTCAAAGATCTGTCTTCAAAAGGTTTATGTTCAAAACGTGGGGTGGTTAGAAGTCTGATGACCCGAGGGGCCTCTGGGCTGTTTTTACCCCCCGGGACAGGTCCTCCTTGATTTCCAGTCTGCAGCACTGACAGAGGATGCTCCCAGTGTGCTCCTCCAGAGCTCACCCTTTCCATTTAGTCCCTTTATTGTAGACGTGTTCCTTGTCATGGATTGAAATCCTATCTATCAGAATCAGAATCAGAATCAGAATCAAAATCGGGGGTTTATTGCCAAGTACATTTACACATACAAGGAATTTGACTTGGTGTATTGGTGCTAAACAATTAACAAGGAAATAAAGCAGAACTAGCAACAACTTAAATAATACAGTATAAGAAGCTATTACAATATATAAAATAGAATTTAAAAATGTGCAATATAAAAATAAAATAAAAATGTACAAAAGGTGTAATGTAGGAGCTGTGCAGTGGACTATGAGAAAAACAGCTTAATGTGTGTAACTACTCACAGAGTGCATGTAAAGAAGCTAAATCTAATGTCTTTTATTTAGCTTCTTGCATGTTTACATCTTATCTCTGTGTGTGTTTCAGGATCATGTGCGTCAGTCCCAGGCGCTGTCTGCTGCAGAGAAAGAGTTCATCCTGAACAGGAAGAGAGTCTCTCTGAAGGCGCTCAACGACCTGGGAGTCAAGTGTTCACTGGTGAGACGGAGAGCTGTTATTCTTCTCTGTGTTAAAGGACAAACTCTGTGTTTGCACGCAGCCTGCAAGCAATGACTTGAAACTAATACATGCAAATCCTTTCATTTGATGTTATTCTGTTTCTGCATGTAGTGAAACAGTTGTTCAGCGTTTCTATGAGACAGTTTGGGTTGAGCTGCAGACGGTTTCACCTGCAGGAGGATCAGAGATGTTATACTGGTTTGTCATCACCCACTTTCTTCTTCTCTTCCTCTAAAGGCTACCGTTCCTCACATCGCAGTCCTGGGGTCAGGTGGAGGTCAGAGAGCCGCTGTCAGTCTGCTGGGTTCTCTCCATCAGATGGAGAAAGACGGTCTGCTGGACTCGGTGCTCTACCTGGGAGGAGTCTCTGGATCTGTGTGGTAAATATGAGAACACTCACTGGACGTAAACGGTGATGTGTTGACACTAAGTTCAGTAAGTTTTTTATTTCTCTGCGTGTCTGTCAGGTCGATGGCGTCGCTGTACACTGACCCTCAGTGGAGTAAGAACGTGGGCGGAGCTGTGTCCAGGCTGTCAGGTCCTGAGATCAGTCCGGAGCAGGTTCTGTCGTGGCTGAGTGAGGCAGCGAAGGACGAGCAATTCTCTCTCTCTGACATCTGGGGGCTCCTGACCTCGGCTGGGATCATGAAGCAGGTACACACCTTCCATTAAGGGTTGGTTCAGCGCACAGGATGAGAGCAAAGATACATAAAGATCATTAAGAGTGACACAGAACAGCTTGAGTTCAGGCAGAAGTCTTTTCAGAGTTTCAGTCTGTCTCATTAACATGTTGATCTTCCTCCTCTTTCCTCTGCAGCTGGACCATCAGCGTCTCTCCGGGGTCGTTACAAACGCCGTCAATCCGTACCCCATCTACAACGCTATGAACCAAAACTGTCTAAAAGGACCAGAAAAAGGTAAAGAACACACTCAAACAGGAATAACTACAAAACTATAAAAGTACAAAAGTACAAAAGTCTTAAAGGAGCACAGACAGAAGACAGAGACGACCACCGAGTTCAGAGTTTCATTGTCAACCAATCCAAATACTCGATTCATGAAAACCATGTCTGTCTGTGTGTCTGTCTGTGTGTCTGTGTGTGTGTGTGTCTGTGTGTGTGTGTCTGTGTGTCTGTGTCTGTGTGTGTGTCTGTGTGTCTGTGTGTCTGTGTGTGTGTGTGTGTGTCTGTGTGTCTGTGTGTGTGTGTGTCTGTGTGTGTGTCTGTCTGTCTGTATGTCTGTCTGTCTGTCTGTCTGTCTGTGTGTCTGTCCCCTCTGTCTGTCTGTCTGTCTGTCTGTCTGTCTGTCTGTGTCTCAGGTAAATGGTTCGAGCTGACCCCTCATGAGTCCGGCTTCACAGATCTGGGTCTCTTTGTGAACTCGTCTCTTCTGGGCAGCAGAGTCCATGAAGCGGCTTCAGGAGGACAGAGGGAGATGGACTTAGTGAGACTGCAGGGTGAGTGTGATCTCTCTTTGCTCCAAACAAAGTCGAGTAAACATGAGGAACTCAGAAGAGACACAAACATAGATAAAAACTTCCAGAGAGGCCCCCCCCCTTCCCCAGCTGCCAGATGCTCCCATTGTGCAAAACTTAACTCTTTCAAAATAAAAGCATCTGACATTACACATTACTTCAGTTTTTAAAAAAACTGCAGATTTATCTTCTTTATTATCTGCAAAACATATACATTCCTGCGAGCTACAAGGTCATTTAAGGTGTCGTTTAACAGCGTGTATCTTTAACAGCGTGTATCTTTAACAGCGTGTATCTGTGTGTGTGTGTGTGTGTGTGTGTGTGTGTGTGTGTGTGTGTGTGTGGTGTGTGTGGGTGTGTGTGTGTGTGTGTGGTGCAGGTATAGTGGGCAGTGTTCTATCAGATGAACAGACAGTCTTAGACTCTCTGCCCCAGCAGCTGAAAGGTAAACATTTTGAGTTAATTTACAAAGTGTGTAACATTTCAAACATGCAGAAGAAGAAGTAAGGAGTGTGCATGTTTAGATCTGGCGGGCGCTGCAGTGACGGATGAAAACAACCTGCTGGATGTGATTTTCCTCTGGACTGAAGGTACCTGGTTTTAAAGAACACTCTGCAGTGTGAATGTTTTATATAGAAACACATTTATATTTATATTTCTGCGCCTCAGCTCCTCAGCAGGTGAGCGGGTTCTTTCAGGTGTTGGACCGGTACGCGCGAGCATATCACACCCTGTTAAAGGTGACGGACATTATCAAGAGATACACCAAAGATCCAAAGGTGATATCTGATCTGAACAAGCTGCAGAAGACGATGAGAGGTGAGAGCGCCAGAGATCTGGGTTAGGGTTAGGGTTGAGATATTCCCTCAGTGATGAATCCTCCTTTTTGTTTTTTCCAGAGAATTTAAACTTAAACCCGGCTGCATGGTTTGGAAAGAAGAGTCCAAAACAACGTAAGCTGATCCTGGATCGGTGGAGTCAGAAGATTTTGGAGCCTCTGCAGTCCTGGTCCCAGAGTCTGGATGAAGGACCCGTCAAAGATTACGGTCAGTGCAGGAAGTAAAGATGTTTAAATATTGTCTCTCCTCTGAAACTTCTTCACCTGATCACCTCCACTCCTCTGCATTGTTTCCCTGAATGTTGGACTGTTTGACATGACTCTTACAAACGGGTTAGGGTCTGGGGTCTGGGGTTATTGCACAGATTCTATGCAGCACAGGATCAGTGGCTGTAAATCCACTGCACAAAAGCCTGACGTGGGCGAGTCATAGAGGTGTGCTGATACCTTTCTTACTTCCTGAGCTTTTAATCCAGAAAATGAGAACTCACACACACAGACACACAGACACCACCGATGTTTCTCTCGCTGCCCTTAGAGACCGAACAAATCAATCAGGCTTCAAAGGAAGAATGTGTGACATGTTCCACATAAATAAATCATAAATCCAGTCTATCCTGTGTAAATGTCTCACTGAGTCATGGCTGTCTACAATGAGTGAGAAGCTCGAGTCCCACTGGCTGTGTTGTTGTCAGAGCTGTGTTTACATGGACCGGACGGCTGGCTCCTCCCCTTGTGTATAAAAGCTGTTTTAGTCAAGAAGTAGAGAGAAGAAGAACATACTCACTGATTATTTGGATGTTAGTAAGAGTTTTTAGATCATTCTGTGTCAGTTTACAATGTGAAGCTACGAGCTTACTAAAGAGTGCTAACATTAGCATGCTAACACAACAATGCAGGACACAGCTAATGTGAAGCTACGAGCTAACTAAAGAGCACTAACATTAGCATGCTAACACAACAATGTGAAGCTATGAGCTAACTAAAGAGCGCTAACATTAGCATGCTAACACAACAACGCAGGTCACAGGTGATCGCAGCTCGGGCCGAGGATGATTTTGTCCCCCACTTGCGGTTGAATCGTTTGTACACAAGTTGAGAGAGGGGTTGGAGGTGTGTCTCTGGAGGAGAGCGGAGGCTTCAGTATGGAGGAGGCGTGGCCTAACAGCAGTTTGTTTTGGTTTCATGCTGGTGCTCAAGGGCAAAATCTGCTGGATCAAGAAGTTACATCTTCTTCCTTTAACTTTCTCATCTCATTCACTAACTTTCTTTATTTGTTTTTCAGTCTCCTTATTGCCCCAGAAAGTCTTTCCTGCGATTGGGAAATGGGAGTGGGAAACCATTGAAAACTTCCTCTTCCTGTACCCAGGTACTGAAATCATAAAGTGTGGACACCTCGTGCTAAACGTTTCGCTCAGTGGAAACATCTGCTGACTGCTGCGTTGTGTTCTTGTGTTGCTGTGAAGACGCTTCAGTGCCGTCCTGCGTCAGACTGAAGCAGCGCCTGCAGCTGATTGACGCAGGTCTGATGTTGAACATGGCGTTTCCCCCGCTCCTCGGAGAAAAGAGAGAGGTGGACCTCCTCATCGCTCTGGATTACTCGGCCAGTGAAGCCTTCACGGTGAGGCTCTCATGGCTCCTAATGTTTGATTTAGTTTAGACACAGACTCTGAGAGACTGCAGGCCGGATCCACAGGATACCTGAGATTATATTTAAGAATGATCATCAGGCATCATATTGCAGAGAGGACGCTCAACGGAAGATGAAAATAAAAAAACGATATCTTTAGCGAGAGTGGACGCCAGTTTGAAAAGTGAACAAGATATTAAGATGAAGAAACAGATTTGCGGTCAAAGGCAGCGAGAAAACATCCGACGAGAGACGAGAGAAGTGAAACAGAAAGGTTTGAATAATCTGTCACAAATCGAGTTTTCTGCAGGAAGAAATGAGCTCAAAGTGTATTTAGGCACGCTTCATAACGCTTTCATAAAGGTTATTATTGTGTACAGAAATGGCGTGCTTAGACTTTAATAACATCATGATGATACGAGTCTTTTATCAGAAACAGCTGCTGTGTGAGGGGAGAGAGACGATGATGATGTTTTCTGTCCGTGCAGACTCTGACCGCGGCCAGAGATTACGCTGCCAAACTGAAGAAGCCGTTCCCCGAGATAGACGAGAAAATCCTGCTGGAGGAGAGAGACTGTCCGAAGGACTTCTACGTGTTTGAGGGGAAAGAGAAGGAGCCCACCATCGTGTTCATGCCGCTCTTCAACAGAAACAACTGCAAAGGTCTCACACAACAACAACAACAACAACACAACATCAACAACAACATCAACACCACCAACAACAACAACACCAAACAACAACAACACTAACAACAACCACACTAACAACCACAACAACAACCACGAAAACAACAACCACAACACCAACAACAACACCACTAACAAAAACAACACTAACAACAACAACAACAAAAAACAACAACACCAACAACAATAACAACAATAACAACACCAACAACCACAACAAAACAACATCAATAACAACATCAACAACCACAACAAAACAACATTATCAACAACACTAACAACCACAACAACACCAACAACCACAACAACACCAACAACATCAACAACAACCACAACACTAACAACCACACTAACAACCACAACAATAACCACAAAAACAACAACCACAACACCACTACCACCACCAACAACCACAACCACAACAACAACAACCACACTAACAACCACGATAACCTCAACAACAACAACCACACTCACAACCACAACACCAGCAACCACAACAACACCAAGAACAACAACAACACCAACAACCACAACACCACCAACAACATCAACAACAACCATAACAGCCACAACAAAACAACACTAACAACCACACCAACAACAACAACCACGAAAACAACAACCACAACAGCCACAACAACACTAACAACAACAACCACGAAAACAACAACCACAACACCACCACCAACAACAACACTAACAACCACACTAACAACCACAATAACCACACTAACAACCACAACAACAACAACCACAACAACAACCACAACAACAACAACACCGCCGCTAACAAAAACAACAACACTAACAACCACAATCACCACAACACCGCCAACAACAACAACCACAACAACAACTACACTAACAACCACAATAACCTCAACAACAACACCAACAACAACAACAAAACAACAACACCAACAACAACAACACCAAACAACAACAACACCAACAACCACAACAAACAACATCAACAACCACAACAAAACAACATCAACAACCACCACAACAACAAAACAACAACACCAACACCAAACAACACCAACAACCACAACAAAACAACATCAACAACCACAACAAAACAACATCAACAACCACAACAAAACAACATCAACAACCACAACAACAACCCTAACAATCACTACCAACAACTTAATATCTTAATATCTCGTTCACTTTTCAAACTGGCGTCCACTCTCACTAAAGATATTGTTTTTTTATTTTCATCTTCCGTTGAGCGTCCTCTCTGCAATATGATGCCTGATGATCATTCTTAAATATAATCTCAGGTATCCTGTGGATCCGGCCTGCAGTCTCTCAGAGTCTGTGTCTAAACTAAATCAAACACCAGGAGCCATGAGAGCCTCACTGTGAAGGCTTCACCGGCCGAGTAATCCAGAGCGATGAGGAGGTCCACCTCTCTCTTTTCTCCGAGGAGCCGGGGAAATGCCATTAGTGCAGGTCCATAGGATCCTGTTTGTGCATGTGTGTGTATTTCGGCCTATGTGTGTGTAGCATGTTCACTAGACAGAGTGTGAAAACGAATTTCCCCTCGTGGCATCAATAAAGTATAAATTATTCATAACAACAACAACAACAACAACAACCACACCACCAACAACAACAACAACAAACTCTTCTATCAAATGTTCAGAATGACATCATGTTGTTTTTCTGCTCCAGATGCAGAGGAGGTGAAAACAAAGATGGCGGCGTGCTCCACCTTCCAGCCTCCGTTCAGTCAGGAGAAAGTGGAGTTTTTGTTGGAGACGGCAAAAGAGAACGTGAAGAGAAACAAAGAAACTCTGCTGAGAGAGATCAAGAAGGCGGCTGAACGCAGACGCAGCAGGAGGTGAGGAGACGCCGCAGTGTGACGGAGTGAGTGTGGAGGAAAGGAAACTTCTTAATGCTTCTTTATTTCTTTTCAACAGGTCTAAAGAAGTCCGGCACCTGAACCTGAAGACGTTTACGACACGCAGACACTGAGAACATTTCATTTCATCCACAGCCCTCCATCACTCAGCATGCAGTACCCTGAGTGGAACACTAGAGGGCGGTATGTGTTCACAGCTGGTCCCATGGAGGAGGGGTTTCTGAGTTTCTGCTCCTTTAATGTTTTATTTTCTGAAGACCAGGATGTGAATCACATGTTTGTTGATCTAATAAAGGTTCAGACTGTTTGGAATTCATTTTTATTATGAATTTAATAGAAAAAGGTAGAAATAAAACAAGTAAAGACATCACAACCACCAACTACAATGATCAATATTAACTAGAGTTGTAGGACTCCAGACCACTTTCTGAAGGTCTCAGTCTCGTCTCAGAATCTAAACCACTTTCTGAAGGTCTCAGTCTGGGCGGACTCCGGATTTTAAATCAAGACCGGTCAAGACTACCACTGATCGGCACTTTCTCACATCATCACTGTGAAGGAAAAGCTTCTTTCTAAAAGAACAAATAACTTCAGTTCATTTGTAGTCTAATTTTTAATCCCCGGTTATGGCCGCAACCTTCCCTGTGTTATAGTCTAAGTGAGGGACACGCCCCCTAAACACAGGACGATGATTTAGTGATATTTATGGTCTTGGTCTTGACTTGGTCTCGATCGGCCTCTTATGTGCACTTTTTTAAATTTTATTTATGGACTGCAGAGTGTAATGCGATGAGCTGTTTCCAGGCGGCTGTAGCTCAGTCTGGAGGGACTCGGCTTGGGATCCAGAGGGTCAGGGGACTGAAATATGTAAGTTGGTCTGGTTGCAGGAGAGGTGCCAGGTCAGAAAGGCAACCCCACCAGACCTGCTCCCGTGTTTCAGACACACTAAATATCGAACTCTGAAAGCGATTGGAGAGCAAAGGTCGAGATCTATACGTCCATCTGCCTCCTACAGGAAGTGAGTCGTCCTGACGCTGACCTCAGAGTGACCTTGTGGTGTCGTGTATCTCTGGGAGACTATATATAGATTTTCATCCTGAATGTCCTCAGAGGCCACAGACATCCACATTCCAGGAAGATTTATGGTTTTAAACTCACACAGGGAGATTTCTGACTGGTTAACCTTATCAATAAAAACGACCCGTACCCGGCACAAGGATTTCTTAAACGAGTGTGTTGTTATTGTCAGGTCAGATATTCAGAGAACATCTCACATTTTTATCGTTGTTCCCCGTGGTCTGAAAACATCCAAACATCAGTCACATGAAATGAATTTAAGACTATAGTGCTGAAAAGAGGCGAGCGTGGCGCTCTGTGGACGTGAGAGAGATGCCATCTTCCATGTTGGAAGATATTGTTCTGTTAGATCGACTTTGAGACGACTGAAGGAGGAGACACTAACGACCTTTAACATCAGCAGAACAAACACACGTCTGACAGTAAAAAGTATTTCTGGGTCAATCTGTTGTTTCCTAAGCGGCGATCACTGATTGGATGAAATGGTTTGCTTGATGTCATCGTGTTCCACCTGTCTGCTCCCATGGACGTCTCCCCGCTCGCTGTTTCTCTCTTTGTTGTTCCAGTGTTTTTACACGCAGCTCACTCAGTGACCTTGTTACGCAGCCTGGAGGCAACACACACACACACACACACAAACACACACACATACACGCACACACACACACACACACACACATGTACGCACACACATAATCAGAGTCATGTTGCCTCATGTCATCTCTGATCTTTATGTTCTTCATGTTCCTCCTCCTCTCACATATTCTTCCTTTAAATACGACAACAGATTTTTCCTCCTCAGTTGGATTTTATTCTGTTGGCCGGATGATCTAAACTTTTCTTCCAGTGAATCTTTGATTTGTTTGTAAATCATAAATATTTATTCCTTTATTGGGTTAAACCCCTAAAATGATGACAAATACACAATAAAGTCGACATTTGTTCAAGACTCTTTATTCAGAACCTTTTCTCTTTGACACTCCTGACCGTTACAATCAAAAAGAAAACGTTTGACATCCATCACCTGAGCAGAAGCAAACACCTGTCACAGATGATCAGTGTGGGAGATGTTTGTTTGTTTTGCATGGACACGGTTGTCATTCATCGATCAGCGAGTTGACAGAATCACAAACCCACCGACAGCGATGAATGTGAACCGGACACCTGCACAGGTAGAGGATGATCCATAGAGACGGAGGATGACTAACCCGCTGAGGACAACAGGACACATCTCTGCATGTGAAGAAAGTTTGCATCCCTTTGTGCAGATTTAAATTATCCTAAAAAAACTGACATGACAACAAAGACTGTATATAAGAAATGGACGTCGTCTCTGATTATAAATGTGAAGCCAGTGAGTGCAGATGTGTCTTCCACCAGCAGGGGGCACTTCAACCCAGGATTCCCTGCAGCAGTCGTCCATCGTGTCAGCTGATTTATCTCCTCAGTAAACGTTCTCCTAACGACTTTATGGTCTCAACCTCTAGTTCAGAGTCTTCATCAACACAGAAGGAAGTGAATTTAGAGTCATAAACTCTTTTCACTCTGCCGTCTCCAGGCGGGATATTTACGTCCCTGTGATGTTTGGCCTTCAATATAAATGTCTCAGAGGTGTGATGGGGGGCTAAGGACCCCCACATTTAGTGTAAGAAAAACATGGTGATGTGTATGTTTCATCACAAGTGACCTTTAAGAAGGAGTCTTAATCCAACTGTTTCAAGTCTTTAAATGAACCCAGCAGTTTTTTGAGGTCTCAAAGGAAGTCTGAATGTCAACATGCTGCTGAGCCGTCAGTGGACATGCATCCACACGTTTCACTTCACTCTGTTTCCCCCTGATAACGAGTCATTGCTGGATGTTTTCTCCAGAGGGGATGAGTAGAATAACAGATTTAAGATCTCAAGAAAATAAAAATCTAATGTTTATCCTGGGATAACCAGAGATGTTATCTGAAATGTAACAAGATGATTTATTAGTGAAATAAATAAATGTTGCATGTCGTCTTCAGGCTTCCTGAGTTTCGTCTCTTCCTCTGTGGTTTGAGCAGAAACACATGAATAAATGTTGTTCATGTGCAGCGCGTGGAGCATGCACCCTCGGCGCTGTGTTTCCACCGATGTGAGCTCATGTGTAAGGGTACACTCAACACTCGATGGTTTCTCTGACTCACAAACTCACCGACAGCGTTGAATGTTCCCGAACATTTGAAAAAAATTCGGAGTGACAGCGAGCGAACCAACAGCCTGTCCTGCAGTGCCGAGAGGCGCGGACAGCCGTGACAGCGCTGACACGGGACGACGAGAAGAGGAAGAGACAGGAGCTGTGCAGGTGCACGCACACACACACACAAACACACACAACACACACACAC